TTATTTGATTTGATTTTTCTGGAGACTTCATTTTGCACAGCACTCTCTAATAATGCATCCAACATAAAGCAGCAAGTTGATTTTCATTGTGGTGGCATCATTGGTATGGCTTTTCCAACCACAATTTTTCATTATTGCAAAATCCCCCTCTTTGCCCAAGAAGAATCTACTGTTCCTTTGTAACTTCAGTTCTTACTAAGAGGAGTTTGAAGTGGGAAATTTTCTTTTAAGCACTAGGTCATTGCCAGGGCATATATGATTAATATTTTATTTGGTAGCTAGGCTAATTTGAACCAGACTAGCTGTGGGCCAGTAATAATTTACTTGTTGCAGGTTTGTGTTCTTTGTTGTCTATTACTATAAGGGTAGTCATTATGATCTCTCTCTCTTTCTCTCTCTGTCTCTCACATAAACATTCTTCCCTAAACACAAATATGGTCTATGACTTACATAATATCCATACCCCACATAGATATATACATTACATATACTTTTATTATTTGATAAAGCTTAAAAATCCTTAAGAAAGAGCACATATAAGTTCCATGACACAAATTGCCAGCTCAAAAGCTTAATGAGGAAGCAAATGATATGAAAAAGAATTGTGAAACCCCCATTCCCACTTTCCAAGTTATCTGTCTGTCTGAATTGCATATGTGTATGCATGTATATGTTCATCTCCACAGCTCAGTCAGAGACGACCCAAATAATGCTGAAACCCATCCACTGAACCAGGCACTGGTGGCTCATGCCTGTAATCCTAGTTGCTCACAAGGCTGAGATCTGAGGATCTTGCTTCAAAGCCAGCCAGGGCAAAAAAGTTTGTGAAGACCTTATTTCTAGTGACCCTCTGTTAGTGGAGGTGTGGTTCAAGTGGTAGCATGCTAGCTTTGAGTAAAAGAAGCTTAGGGACAGCATTGAGGACCTGAGTTCAAGTCTCAGGCCTACAACAAAAAAAAAATCCAGTTACTGGGTAGATATGGTACTTTAACTGATACGAGCCAGAGGTACCTGGAAACAGGCCTCTACCACATGGGAGGGGGCTTGTGTGGTGCCAGGGGGTCTCCACAATACCACCAGAGGCCACAGAAGTATAGAAAGCAAGACCTCAAAGAAGCATCTGCATTTGTCTAAGTTGGCCTGGTTATGTTGGCAGTGGTGGACAGGGTAGAGCTCCAGCTAGTTCTGTGGGGTGTCTCTTGTGCTGATGTGTGTGAGCATTTCTTCACAGCTGTTTAGGTAAGACATGCTCAAAAGGTCCTGCAATTTTCAAGCTCCCCATAGCAACACCTCCTCCAGGCATAGGGGAATGGGGAGGGGGTTCCTCCTGCAGCACCCCCTCTTCAGCAAGTTTACCTCCTTTCTCAGGACAGACTTCATGGCAGTTGCAAGGTTATCTTCTACTTAGCTTCTGCTGAAATCCCAAGGCCTGCAGCTAAAAGGAGAGGAACCCTTTAGTAGGCTATTGTGTTCAGTGGATTCTATTCATAAATCCTATTTGGCTACTGTGTGTGTGTGTGTGTGTGTGTGTGTGTGTGTGTGCTGGTACTGGAGATTGAGCTTATGTGCTATCCCCTTACCTTTTTTTGCTCAAGGTTGGAGCTCTACCATTTGATCCACAGCTCCACTTCCTGCTTTTTGTATTTTGGTGGTTCATTGGAAGTAAGAGCCTCATGGACTTTCTGACCCTGGGCTGGCTTCAAACTGTGATCCTCAGATCTCAGCCTCCTGAGTAGCTAGGATTACAGGTTTGAGCCATTGAGCTCCTGGCTCTATTTAGATTTTTCCAGCTCCTTCTGTCCTTGCTCCTCTAGCTGGGGCTGCAACCTTGAAGGGGGTGGGGTTAAGATCCCAGGGGAGTTTGGGACTGAAGCGTGGGGTGCGGGGTGGGGGCTAATCAGTATCTCAGGCTGGACTAGCTTTAAGAATCCTTTGCTTTTTTAATCCTTTCACGGGCATGAAGTGGGGAAGACAGGCTACAATGCAATGAGGTTTTCTCCTGAGTTCTACCAAGATCTGGAAACTTCTGAGTGCTGGCTTAAATGAATTTATACAGCCCAAGAGAGAACAATCTAAAGGCGACAGAATTCTGCTCAGCGTCTGAGGATGGAGAAAGCCACAGGTTCCCCCGCCCACCCCCCATTTTCAGGCTCCTGAAACAGAAATAAATAAATAAAGATCTCCCGCAGTTGTTAATAATCTTCTCCGCCTTCCTCCTCTTCCTCCCCCTCCCCGCCCCAATAGTTCTCTCAAATCTTCCTTAGCTCTCCTAAGATTGCTGGGAAAGAGTTGGCGGGCACCCTGCGCTGTGGCAACCTCGCTAGGACTGCGTCCTGGTCTGCGCCCCCACCTAGCGGCTCCGGCGCGCTGCGGCGCTCCGAGCAGAGCGCACAGCAGTTTGCAAAACAATGAAGTCTCGCTGGGAGAGGGCGCGGGGGGGGGGGCGCGGGGGGCTGTGGGTGGAGGGGGTCGGAGGAGGACCGAGGCCTCTTCAAAAGCACGGAACACGGGGCTCAGCACCCTGGGGGAAACGTCGGGTGTTCAGAGACTGCAACAGAGGAAAACGACTGTGGTTTCGATTGTGGCCAGCACCGGGGGACGTCTTGGAAAACTTCCACCTTCCGCCACCCGTGCCTGCGCTCCATGCTCTTCACCTCACTTAGTTGTGTGTGTACTTATTCCTTGTCTGGCTGTCCTATGATGTCCAAACTGGGTCCGGAGGATCTGCCCCCACCCCCGCATTGGTTTCCCACACTTGGGCGGGGGAGGCACCTGCCAGAGATGGAGAATTCTAGTTCTTTGTTGTTGTTGTTTTACTTGATTTATTTAGGGAGCCACAAATTGAGGAAACTTGCGGCGGGGGAGGGTATGAACCCAATAAAACGATCTTTTTTGGGGGGGTAAAGAATCCCAATTATTCTCCTTCTAAACGTGGACCATGGCTCAGTTTATCACCAGTTTGGAAAGGGAGACTCTGAAATAGACCTGCACTGGCTTGGTGAATTCAATTCCAGCGCAAACTCTGCAATCAGCAGGCCAAGAGCAGATGGGGACCTTGAAATTCCCGGTGGGCAAATCGTTTTGTCCGAAAACTGGAAAGAAATGCTCTGTCCTTCCCCCACCCCCGAGCTGCCCTTGACATTTCCAGACCCACGTTTGTACCCTCTGCTGGTGGTTCGAGGACGGAGTGGAAACCAGGCTTCTTAGAAGGCCCTTCCCCCTGTCGGCCTGCAGCTGTGAACAACACCCAGATGCGTTTGTGGAGGGCCAAGGAAGGCCACTGAGGCAGGGCACAGCTGGCGATGGCTCCTGGGTGTCTTTTTTTTCCCTTGGGTTTTGATGACCTCCTTTTGTGGCAGGTGGAAAGGGCCTGGGGCTGCTTGCTGAGCCACTGGGCCTCGTGGGGCTGGACCCCTTCACCAGCCCGGGACTGGTAATGGTGAGACTGTCACATTTTGCAGACAGCTTCACCCCCCCCCCATATGACTCCCGGAGTTCAAGGCATTGAATGACAAGCAGAAATGGCTAAAGCTAGCGCTGAGGACCGCAGGCCGTGTGAGCATGCCAGGAGTTAAGGATGGCTGGGAGCCAGGCAGTATAAAATGCACACATTGGCCATTTCCTTCTAAGGCAACCTCACTGGGGCCTCCTCCTAAACCTGGGTGTGGCCCTCGGGGTGGGGTTCGATTCCAGGGTGCAAGACTGGGAGGGGGCGAGCCCCGCGGCCTTTGGAGTGGCTAGAGGCGGTGAGAGGTGGGAGCCTAGTTCGGGACGCACACCCCAAGTCTGAGCGCTCGCCAAGGGCGTGGGGCGGACGGGCGGTGCGCACTGCAAGCGCCCAGGCCGAGGACACCACATCTGGATGCCCGCCCCACATCTGCCATCTGTGGGTGACAGGTCCAGATCGGGGTCAGGGTGTGTGTGTGGAAGCCGGGGCGCGGGGCGGTGGGTTGGGGGAGCCGAGGAGGAGAAACGGGGAGCGAGGGCTGTAGGACCCGGCGGGAGCTTCCCGAGCTGGGGAGGGAGCGGGGCGGGGGAAGAGGCGGGAGGGAGAGGACGAGGGCAGGTGCGGGGTGGCGGGCGCCGCACGAGTTGCACGGCTCCGGCGGGCTGCGCCCGGACTCTATAAAAGGAGCCCGGCGGCTCCGCGGCTCATGCCCGCCGCCGAGGCCGGTGGCACGCGGGTTCCACCAGCTCCCCAAGACACCTGCCCGGCGCCGGCCGGTGTGCGGCTCGGGTTGACGACGGCAGCCGCAGCCCCGGATCCCCCCCCCCTCGGACCCCTGTCCTCCCGATTTCTCCCCTCTCGTGGCTTGGTCTCCACGGGGCTCCCCGATTTCTCCCCACCCCAAGTCTGTGGGTCACCACCAGCGTAGAAAAGTGTCCCCAGCTGGCTTGGGGCGCGGGGCGGGGAGGGCGGGGCGGGCATGCGACGCGGGGACTCCTCGCGGCTCCGCCAGCCTTGGTTTCGAGTGGGAAAGTCCTGCGGGAGGAATCGCCAGATCCCGGCGCGCCCAGGGTAGGAGAGGCTCCTAGCAATTGGGGTAAGCGCTCTCTCTCTCTCTCTCTCTCTCTCTCTCTCTTTCGCTCGCTTGTTCTCCCTTGATTCCTCCCCCCCCCGCCCCCTTTTCCAGCAACACTTCTACCTTCTGCACCACCTGCGTCCCCGCCCCCCCGGGGGGCTGGGCGGGGTGGGCCAATCTCCTAATCACCCCTCCACACCCCCCTCCTCCCCACAGCCATCTAGGACGGGGCATAGAGCGCAGCCCCGGGGCCCCGGCGCTGAGCGCGCGGGAAGTGCGGAGGACGCGCCCGCCCACCGGGTCGCCAGCCGCGCCCGTGACCTCCACTTGGAAACTGGGCGGAAGACTTGAGCCAGAAGCCCACGGAACTGACAAAAGGCAGAGCCACCGGAGCCCCGGAGTCTCCATGGTCCTTCCGTCCTCGGCTCTCTCTCGGGTCCGCCGCAGGCTCGAGCGCCGCGAGCCAGCCAGAGAGCCATGGAGGCGGCCGCCGGAGCCCCGTGCGCCCCAGCCCCGCCGCCGCCGCCGCCACCGCCACCGCTGCCCGCGGGGCCCCACGCCGGGCTCCTGCCCGCCAACCTCTCGGCCACCCCGTCCGCGGCCAACTGCAGCGCCGCCGCGGGGACGTACATCTACCAGGACTCCATCGCGCTGCCCTGGAAGGTGCTGCTGGTGCTGGTGCTGGCGCTCATCACCTTGGCCACCACGCTGTCCAACGCCTTCGTGATCGCCACCGTGTCCCGCACGCGGAAGCTGCACACCCCGGCCAACTACCTGATCGCCTCGCTGGCCGTCACTGACCTGCTCGTGTCCATCCTGGTGATGCCCATCAGCACGGTGTACACCGTGAGCGGCCGCTGGACGCTGGGCCAGGTGGTGTGCGATCTGTGGCTGTCGTCGGACATCACCTGTTGCACGGCGTCCATTATGCACCTGTGTGTCATCGCCCTGGACCGCTACTGGGCCATCACGGACGCCGTGGGCTACTCGGCCAAGAGGACTCCCCGGAGGGCGGCGCTCATGATCGCGCTGGTGTGGGGCTTCTCCATCTCCATCTCGCTACCGCCCTTCTTCTGGCGCCAGGGCCAGGCCGGGGACTGCCTGGTCAACACGGATCATGTCCTCTACACCGTCTACTCCACGGTGGGCGCCTTCTACCTCCCCACCCTGCTCCTCATCGCCCTCTACGGCCGCATCTACGTGGAGGCTCGCTCGCGCATCCTGAAGCAGTCGCCCCGCCGGCCCGGCAAGCGGCTGACCCGAGCGCAGCTCCTCACCGACTCCCCGGGCTCCACGTCCTCCGTGACCTCCGTCAACTCGCGGCCGCCCGACGCCGCGCCCAGCGAGTCCGGCTCCCCCGTGTACGCGAACCAGGTGAAAGTGCGCATCTCTGACGCCCTGCTGGAGAAGAAGAAACTCATGGCGGCCCGCGAGCGCAAGGCCACCAAGACGCTGGGGGTCATTCTGGGGGCGTTCATCGTGTGCTGGCTGCCCTTCTTCATCATCTCCTTGGTCATGCCCATCTGCAAGGAGGCCTGTTGGTTCCACATGGCCATCTTTGACTTCTTCAATTGGCTGGGCTATCTGAACTCCCTCATCAACCCCATCATCTACACCATGTCCAATGAGGACTTCAAACAAGCCTTCCATAAACTGATTCACTTGAAGTGCACCAGTTGACTAGCCCACGGCTGTGGGGTCGCCGTGGCGACCTTTGGGCACCAAGTTGGGTTTTGCCACAGGTAGGTGGACCCCTCATTTCGCTGTTACAGGGTCGAAGCAAGGCGCTCTCTCTCTCTCTCTCTCTCCCCCCCTCCTCTTGAGCAAGGGCAGTGGATCCTAAGAAGTCAGGACCACCCTGAGAAAGAGAGAGTTCTGGAAGGAGAAGGGCTCCAACTAAACTCGAGCTTCCCCGCTGAGGAGAAGAGCGTTTCCCCTCCTCTCTCTCTGGGGCTCAGCACAGATTCTGCCCCAGCCAATCACAAAGAGGGTTGTGACTATGGAAAATTGATGATGGCTGGGGGAGGGGGATCTCCTACCTGCTTTCAGAAGCCTGGATGACGCCCACCGAAGCCAGGGGTCTTTGTGGTTGTTGTCTGAAGCCTGTCTGAGAGGGACATCTACCCACAGCCTAGCAGTTCTTGAATGGAGACACTGAATGACTGGTATGGGGAGGGGGGGCGGACAACTTCGTGTTCCAGCTTCATTTTCAAACAGTTACTTTGGCATCCTGCCCGGCTTCAGTGTCTGCTTATTTTACACTTGGAGAAACTTGTGGATTTTGGTGCTTCACGCCCTAACTGTGTGGCTTTGATGGTTCAGAGAGACATGTAAGAGTTAACTGCAAAAACGCTGATACTAAGATCTCTATTTTTATTATGGTTGAAAATTTATGGGGGTGGGTGGGTGGGGAGATTACACTGAGAATCAACACTCACCGTTGTTTGTTTTCTGCCCTTTGCTAATTTTCTTGTAAGACTTCTGTTTAGCGAGCATCCCACTACAACAACTCAAACCAAACATTATGTGTGCTAGTGCCAAAGTCTGCAGATTGCTTGTTTCCCCCCCCCCTCCTAATTTCATTTATCTGTCATTTAAATCCCCACGGAGGGAGGGCCGGGTGGGTGACTCCGCCCAGATTGCTGCTATGTGTTTAATTGATGCCATTGGTCAAATGGATTAATGTTAGGTTATCTTCTGTACCTTAAGGAGAAAAGTATCTTTATTCTTTCACCAAGCCACTAAAGGGTAAAGGGAACTTAAGAAATAGACTTGGTTATTATACACACAAGGGGGAAAAGTGGGCCATAGGAAGATGTATATTTTGATTTGTAAAAAAAAAGAAATCTTCAAATGCATGAGATATTTTTCTGATAGTCATTTGCACTCTCCTTCCCATCTGTGATTCCATGGTGTGCGAATATAATCAAGAAGCCAAGAGAACTAATTTCCTTGTCCAGAAACCTTCCAAGTGCAGCAAGAACCCTAAAAGTTATACCTGACAAAGAAGAAAGTTTCTTTCCCCTTCCCATTGAAGTTTGGCTAGGAGCAATGATTCCTAGAAAATGATAGGTAGGGGATTACTGAAGCTGAAAGTCAGCCTGCTTTCCTTATAATACACAAAACCAAACCTCAGGCTCACTGAACAAACGGGAAACTGGGAAAGGTGTTTAACCTTGGAAATCTGTCACTGACTTGACACCTCAGTGAATATAGGAGATTGGAAATCACTCAAATATGCTTCCCTTGTCAAATTTTGACAATATTTTGTATTTCAAATTGACTCCAAGAACTCCCCCAAAGAGAGTCAAATCGCATCTGAAAGATGAAAAGATGTACCTTAATCAAAAGCAGTAGCTCCAAGGAACAGCTGCACAGATGTGGAATACTTAAGATGCCAAAGAAGATCCCCACCCCTTTCTAGAAAGCTTTCTGCAGTTGCAGCCCTTTGCCTACAGATGCACCTTGTCTTTATAAACTGGATTCATGCCCTGCATGAAGCTCCCATCCAGGTCATCAGACAATAGATGAAGGGCACTGCTTGTCTACTTCACGCAGGGGTGCAGAGGCCTTCACTCTAGGAGTAATGATTCTTGAAAATACACTCTTCAAAAGTTCACCTGTACTGTAGGGAACAAAAAGGGAATTTTTTTTGGGGGGGGGAATCACAATTGTACTTGTCACTGGAGTAAGATAAAACTTTAGGCTCTAGATAGTCCTCTACTTCTGCTGGATTCCCAATTTTCTTCTGTTGCTCTGTGTGTGTATGTGTGTGTGTGTTTGTGTGTGTGTATGTGTGTGTGTGTATGTGTGTGTGTGTGTATGTGTGTGTGTGGTGTGCACACACGGGCTCGCCTGTGAAATGTCTCCTATGGAGAAATGTGCCTAGAGCATGGTATTTGTTTTTATGTTACTAATATATTGGTCTTCTGTTTATGCAGCGGTGGGCTGTGTTTTCTTAAAGCCTGAGAGGCAATTAAGTCAATTTCCAAGAGCCTTAGGGGGAGGGGTAATGAAACAAATAGCCACTTCCAACTGATTTCTTTGTAGGACACCTACAAGGATCCTGTCTTCATGTTAACAAAACACGGTCAATTTAGTCAGATGGATTGTTTGCCATTTTGTAAATTATCCACTTTAATCCTTGCTTGATGATTTGGCTGAATTGACTGAATTGGGGGGCATATCGTATCAAGTAGAAGCTTGCAAACTCTCGTAGTTATAAACGATCTAGAATCACCATCCAGCATTGCACGTGATTAGGCAAGGCATCAGACTCATCTAAGAGGGGTACAGTTAAGACTGCTAAGCTCCTTTTCAGTTACTGTAATGTTAGGAGCACAATTTGTTTAATGAGTCACTTGGCTTTTTTGTTGTGGCAGAATACAATATGGCAAATGGAAATGTTTAACTTACATAGAAATGAAAAAGAAAAATCAGTTTCATTGACTGTGGTAACCAATAATATTTTCCATCTTGTTTAATTGCACAAAATTTCACACAGATATATGAATGTATACTCATAAAAATACCAATATTGTCTTGTGTTTTAAGGAATTTTAGAGTTTCCTTTTAAAAAAATAAAAGGACACTGCTCCCACGAGTGAATGTTTAAAAGTTCAGCCAATTTCTTATAGAAAAATTGTTTTTCAATTTGTTTCTCTATTTTGTTAGTTTCCTTTTCCTTTTCCTTCCTTCCTTCCTTCCTTCCTTCCTTCCTCCCTCCCTCCCTTCCTTCCTTTTTAAACCTGGAAACTCTGAGGAACATAATTCACTCAAAGCAGTAAAGTCTGATTATGTGTATTTGATGAAGTTGCTATGTCCAAAAATTGCCTTTGGTATTTCCACCTTTCAATAAATGTATGATTGGAAATGAAATTGAGGAAAATAATGAAATAAAAGTCCTTTTCATGTTAAAAAAAGCAGTTGTTTCGTTTATTTATTCTATTTTTTTGTGCTGGCATTGTGGACTGAACTTAGGGCTTCACACTCTTCTTTGGTTATTTCTCTCATGGGTGGCACTCTCCACTTGAGCCACAGCTCCACTTATGACTTTTTAGTGGTTAAATAGAGACAAGAGTCTCATGGACTCTTTTTTTTTTTTTTTTTTACCCAGGCTTGGTTTGAACCTTGATTCTCACAGTTCAACCTCCTGAGTGAGTAGCAAGGATTACAAACATGAGATAGTAGTTCTATGATTATGGGAAGACTGGTTCATTGAATTCTGGGGTTGTATTTTGAAGTTTGAGCCTTCATGAGAGATGGACTCCTGTTCAGTATCACAGCAGTAGCCTGATATGCCCTACCTTGACTTGCAGAGTTAGTTTATATCTGTAGAGACAATTTCAAGGGAATTAAGCAGATTGGGCTCTGGGGCTCTGCAAACATCCTCCACCAGAGGAGTTTTCTAGCATTTTTATATGGAGTATTTTGTCCGTAGGCTAGGCACTGTGTTTCCAAGATACAGGAGCATGATGAAAATACAGAATGAAGCGCAGGAGGAGCTGGGTTGGTAAGAAACTTGGTGAGAAGGGAGACCCCAAAAGCGTTAAGGGGGCTTATCTGAAAACCAGGCACGGGATGTGTTTTTTACAGCCAGAAAGTCCCTGGGACAAAAATGGTTGTGTGTTTCTCTTCTAAACCATCGCCTACTTGCAAATGGTTGCAAAGGCTTGCAATCTACCCAGGTGTGCTTGTGTCTATTTAATAAGAAAATCGGTTATTGCGAGACCTGACAATGATTTTGGCACTCAGAGAAGATACCCCAGTTAGAGTGGAGGAAGCCTCTGTTTCCCAGTGCCTGATTTATGAAGGCACACAGCACCCGCAGCATAGACAATCAGGACTTATTGGGAGCAGGTACAATGGGGAAGACCAAATCACCCTGAAAAAGAAGATGTTGGCTAAACGAGAACTGATTTAGCTTTTCAAATGTCTTGCTAGTCTAGATGACATCCAGTCCAAAGGACAAATGGAACACAAGAGATGGCTCCAATTCCCAAGAGGAAATTGCCATATGTTTAGTTTCTTACAGTACTTTCATTCACCTTTTTTTTTTTGCCTGAAGATTTAGTTGTCTCTTCCTAGAGGCAAAGTTCCCAGCCATATCCATTTTCTCAACAACTTATTTTCTCCTGTTAAAAAAATCTGCATGAAGCCATGATTGATTTCCACAATGCCGTGCTTAATTTTTGTTTTCATTGCAAATGACTGACTGGGCAGCCAGAAATTTGGCATTGTAGAATAGAAAATTGTTGATCTCAATGCAGACGTTAAGTGGAGAAAGCAAAAACCTTTCCACTGGGGGCAAAATCCTGGAGATTTCAGATGTGAGAAGTGTTTGCAACTTTCATCCAAACCCACCCCGGGACTATCCACCAGGGGGCAGGGTGCCTCTAAGTTGTTTAGCTGATAGAGTCTCACAGTTCCCAATCTCGAAATCCTTCTTCCTGGAGTTCTGCAAGTGGTATTAACTTCTCTAAGCTCAATGAAAATGAAGATCTGCAAGCCAAGGAAGGGGAGATTTATCACTGATATAAAAGCAGCACATTTCACAGAACTCAAAATTCAGGCAGAGATCTCGAAAACCAAGTGACAATTTTGCTTCATATATGCAAATTTGACTATTTTATTTTTGAAGCACTGTGGCCTTTTATTATTGTGGCACTGAATGAAACCAA